GGTAATACGTTTTTCACCTAAACATATTTTACATTCATGAACAGCCTCTTCTGTATTTAATATTTGCCTCAGTTGTGGGAATTAAGTGTAAATTGGCTTTTAATCCTAGGATCATTTTTATAATAGGTTCCATTGCATAAATGAAAAAGATGAATTATTTTAGTACTTTTTTAGATAGTAGTATTGACATCTCAGATAAAGATCTGATTGTCAGTTTACAGTATATTTGACGTTTGTAAAAAGCCAAACCAAATCCAGGTAAGATTATGCTTAAGAAAGTATACATTTCCATCCTTTAAAGTTAGTTTCTCATGCACATCTTAAAAACAAATTTTCATAATTTCCTTTTTATATGTAACTAGAATGTCTGAAAAAAATGAAACTTCTCTACTGTCCAGCCCTCCAGAATAGTCATCGGGATATTCTAGAAGGATGAACACAATACTCTCAAAAGCCATTTTATCCCTAAAATTCTTGATATGTTTTGAGTTTGTCGTTATTTCTGGGGCTTTGAGGAAAACGGTTTAAGTTTTAACATTTTAGTTAGTTAATAAAAGGAAGAGTAGGTTATGGCCTGGCAAGCCATTAAGTTTCAAAGGGGTTGTTAGTGCTTTGAATAAAAATCCCTCAATGCCTCAGCTCTCTGAACAGCAATTTGCATTTATTACATAAACTGTAGTCTCTTCAAATCATTAATTGCCTATATTTAATATAAAAGTAGTCTATTAATACCCTTTTGCTATGGAGAGGAGCCTTTTCCTTTAGATAATTTTTAAAATTTTCTTACTGGCCCAGGCATTACTCCACTTGCACACCAAAATATGCAGATCGTAGGGATAGCCAGTTTAGCATTTGAGGTTTTTTGTGTGTGTGTGTGTGTGTGTGTTTTTAAGGTTACTCTAATTTTTAAGGTGTGTTTTTTAGTTAATACTAAGATGACTATGCACTTACACTAAGGATATACTCTCACATCCTATCCAATTGACTATAAATATAGGTGGTTGACTATGTTTTAATTTGTCCAAGGAACTATAAGGGCTAGTAGATTGGAAATAGGTGAGAAATGTTAACGTAATTACTCAAAGAATGTACATTATCTTGTGTGATTAAGTTAGAAAGTGCTGTCCGTGTGGAAAGCCAGATAAGTTCATTTTTTTCAGCATTATGTAGATAAGTGGTTTTAGGTGGTGGCAGATCCAGTATTAGGGGAATGAATGGAGCAGGTAGCTGATAGGCCAGAAGATTCCATAATCACTGCTTGGTTAGGTTGGATAAGGAATGTGACCATGTGTTTAATCTGTAATTACCTAATGATTATTTAGGAATATTGTTTCCTTCCTTCCTATGCCAGAGTCGCTAGTAACTTGCAACTTGACAAGAAACAGGGTGGTTTTTTTCGTTTGTTTTGTTTTATATATATTTAAAATATATTTCATTAATTTTTTATAGAGAGGAAGGGAGGAGGATAGGGAGAAACATCAATGAGAAACATTGATCAGCTGCCTCCTGCACCCCCCCCAGTGGGGATGTATACTGGAATGGAACCTGGGACCCTTCAGTCCACAGGCTGATGCTCTATCCACTGAGCCTAACCTATCCCGGGTTAGGCCCGGGCAGGCGTCTTCAAACTACGGCCCGCGGGCCACATGCGGCTCGCAGAGGAGTCTGATCCGGCCCGCCAGGTTTTTTGGGCAGTGAGCGCAGCCGAGGTGTTACAGTAGGAATTAGTAGTTCATATAGTCCGGCCCTCCAGCTCTCTGAGGGACCGTGATCTGGCCCCCACTTTAAAAAGTAAGAGGACCCCTGGGTTAGGGGTTTTACTTTTGACAAAGCTGAATCTGTGGGTATGAGCATCTCAAGTAGTGAGGTGATAACATTCGAGACATGGAGAAATGCAAGGAAGTTTCAGCCCCTTACTGGCTGTTCCTGTGGCACAGCAGTCACTCCAATGTCCAGCTCGAGTGTCTACAAACTGGAGGAATGCAGGGATTATAGGCTCGAAAGGCTGACATAGCATCTAGCTGATACACACAGCTATTTGTGGCATGTTCTTTCCTGCTGTTCCTTCCACAGTCCACCATCGCCCAGGAGGTAAAATTAGTTTTGTCCAGTAAACCTGTGCTTGCCAAGCACTTGAGAGGCATTGCCACAAATTACTACCAGAAAATTTTTAGGTGAAAACATCATAGACATCCAAATTGAGGGACACAAGTTTAGAATGTTAAGGCATCTAGAGAGATGATATAAAACCAATACTTCAGAATGATCGGGGCTTGTGTAAGTGGCAGCTAACAGGTTACTTTTTTTTTTTAAGGGAGCTATTAAGTTGTTTCGTAACAGTTAAGGGAGATACAGGAGTCCTGGTTAAGTACAATATAAAAGGTTCCAACTTCACCGTTTTTTTCTCTTAAGTAATAAAGAAAATGTGCTGATTTAAATTTCATCTCCTTTTCCTTAGTCTGTCCATGTGAATGTGCTGTGTGGAAGAGTAAAAGGGCCCAACTAAATCTGTTCCAGTCATTCCAATAGGTATTCCAAATTAATTGCTGCTTGTACCTTTAACACTTGTTACATTGAGTTTCTAGGAGCACCTTAGTTAAAATTCCCCTTATTTTAAAAAGATGGAGGGGATGGGGGAAACTTAGTAAGCAGATGGGTAGGTTCTATACCAAAAAAAAAAAAAGTTTGATTTCTCCTTTCCATACCTGAAGTGGGCGGTCCCCTGGCATAGATATTCAAAGTATATGCAAATAGAGCCCAGTCCTCTTTAAGGTTAGAACCTTCCGATTGTTTGAATTCATTGTTTAACTTTTTGCAAGACATTTGTTACAATGTCCTCCATCCTTTAGCATCAGAATACTAATGCAAAAAATAAAAAAGAATATTTGTGTTCTTAGTCTCCCCAAAACTTCCTGCATCTATACTAAGTGCATAAGTATAAAAAAACAACAACAAGTGATTGAGATCCTTTTGGATAACAGAGGTGATAATCTAGGAAGTAAACTTAAGTTCTAAGGAAGGAATAAGGCTCAGGGAGCTTTGCCAGTCCAGAGTATTAATGTGTCTTCCCTGAGGTGTTTAAGCTTGACAAGAAGCTTAGAGGACATTTTCCTGCTGCTATTCCATAATACTGTATTTTGGTGAAATGAGTGGACTTGGGTGATATCCTGATTTGAAATATAGCTCTGTTTTGTTCAATGAAACAAGAGTTCTAATCTGCCAACTAAAAACAATCTAATGGCTTCTGAAGAGCCCATAGCTAAGCTTACAGTGAGCAGTCCTTGCTCAGTGTCATAGATCACTTTCTCACATAGAAATACTTGGGGAGAAAGTCGTCATTCTAGAAAATGAAGAGGAAGGCAAAGGCAGTGGTTGAAAAGACTTTACAGCATATTTGTAGTGCTCATGTTACAACCTTTTGAAAATGTAATACTTTGAGAAATGCCTGCATAAGTTTTGTGTCCCTAAAGCTTCCCTTTTAAGAGAAAATTTAGAGATGGAACTTCATGCACAAAATATATGTGTAAGATAACAGTATTTGGGTGGTAAAGGATATTGGTATGTTACACTGACCTGATTTGATGACCACTGGACAATATTTTAAGATGCTTCCAAAAATCCTTCACTCTGGAGGACCATTAAAATCAATCATAGCAATCGTTTTAATTTTCCTACTTTCCTCATTAAGGTTTTCTGCTTACCCAAAGCATAGTGTATATATTAACATGACTTTTAAAGGGGTGTCTTGACCCCCATCTGCAACAGATTTTTATCTAGGAATAGAAGGATTCAAACCCTATTTGATCCCTAGCTCTGTGCTGAAAAGTGCATAAACAGGAATCCTGAATTTATTATATAGACCTCCTCGCATTATGTAATGGAAGCAAAGGGAAACCAGCGATGGAGTAGAGGTACGTAGACTAAAGAGATGCTTGCAAATCAAATAACGGAAGTAGGGATAGTAAAAAATTTCTTGTTGCCTAACTTGGTCAATATCAATTACAAGTCCAGAGAGAAGCTTGAAGTTAATTTTAATTCCCTGAGGTCCTTTTATTAAAACGTAAAATCGAGTAGTCAAAGCAAAGGGGAGGGACGAGGGAAGGGGAAATGCTTAAAATACTGGAAAGTTAAAGCAGGTGCGATAGATAAGCCACGAGATGTCGTCAGAACTACTAATGGCTGCAATTCTATTTCAATCAGCTATTTAGCTGGTACCCACTGCTACGTCACCTCGTGTGACGTTTTCGGATTTGCTGGGACCCTGACGGACACGGTGCAGCTGGAGGCTCCAGGTGGGCGTGGAAGGTAGGTTCCTCTTTGAGACTAAAATCTGAAGTGTGCGCTTGGATGAGAAGGGAACCCGGTTTCTGTCCATTTGCTGGTGAACATTTAGTAATTCGCTGTAACAAGTGGTGACTGTTTGGTGACCCTCGGTCGGAATGTGAAGATAGCGTTGACAGGGTTCTTGACAAGACACTTAGGCTCAACTTGCAGCACAGGTCATTGGAAGTGCCACCCACTGAAACAGGTGAAACTGGTATGAGAACCTAAATGAGAAGGTGATCCTAATCCCCAGAGGTTAGTGACCAGGAGGATAAAAAGTTACAGAGAGGAAGTAGAAGATACTTGCAGTGAAATTAAAAAGTTTGGGGAGTATGAATTCAGGTCATGGTGTGGCCCAAAGTGCACTGAAGATAGAGGTGACGGGACTGGAAGTGGGGTGGCAGAGTGGAAATGGACTGGAAAGGCTAGAAGTGGAAGTGTCAAGATCTACAATGGAGGCCTTGTCAAATGTGTGCAGAGCAATGATACAGGGCTTGGAGTCTGATAATTCAGTAATACTCTCCTAATACCTTACTAAATAAAAAGATACATTGTATTAATGATCATGTAAATTTACGAAGTGACATCTCCCTGTTTTTCTCCAGGTCTGCAATTTATAAAGCATCCTGTGAAAAATGAAAACCACCTTGTTGTTGGTGAGGGTCCTGGAAATTTTCACCAGCCAACAGAGGCTTCTCTCACCCTGGGTAAGATGTGACCATAGTATGCTAGAGCTAGAAGCAGCCTTAGTTATTTAATCCAGTTGCCTAGTTTTATATGTTACATATATTTGTAAACTGAAGCCAAGGACACAGGTGGCCTGCACAGCTTGTTAAATACCAGCTTTGATGAGTACTCGTCAAATTTTCCCCAACTTGTGCAGCCTCTTAAATGAGTGTCACGTCCAGGCTTCTTAAAAACGTAGTATTTGGTGGCTGTAATATGATTAGCGTAGACTGCATTCAGTGTTGTGTCAGTAAGAGTAGGCAAGACCTTGTCAACAGCATTTTCCTTCCTGATACCCTTCTCGAATCAATGCCAAGTCCTTCCTTTGGTGGCTGCCAAGATGATTAGGATCAATAAACATTAGGACAGATGTCATTCACTAGTCTAGCCATTTGGTAAACCTCATAGCCTAGGCACCCTAACCCTCAAATAGCAATAAATTTATCATTTCTTAACCAGGAAGACTTAGCATGTATTTTATTTAACACTTTTTTTAAATGCTGATTTCGAGACAAAAAAAGTCACTGTTTAGGAGAGGAAGAATTTTCCTGAATGAATAAATGCTGTGGGTTGAGTTGTACATTGGCTGCTTAAAAAAAAAAAAAAAAAAAAAAAAAAAAAAGAAGGCAGAAGAATGAATTATAAATGTCTTATCAGTTTGATGCTGCTATCTAATCTGGCAGTTCTTTTTCCTTTGCATCAAACAAGTTTTGAAAATATTTTGTGCATATTTAAATTCTACATAAAACTTAAAAACCATGCATACTTCCCAAAACATATTTAGAACAGTTAAAAAGCAATCTTTACCTGTTGTGTGACACATGGAAGAATAGTGTCAAGCAATAGACACATTTTTAAAATAATTTGCAAAGTGACCCAATCTATTAGCTTCAAGTCTTATACTACCATTGGTTTAAGAAATTAGGATGTGTGGCTCAATGCTTGAATGTGGAGCCATGAACCAGTATGTCAGGGTTCAATTCTTGGTCAGGGAACATGGCAGGGTTGTGGGCTTGATCCCCAGCCAATCGAAGATTCTCATTATTTTTTCTCTCCCCCTTCCTCTCTCTCAAATCAATAAAAAAATATATATTTTAAAAAGAAACCAGGAAGTATTCCTTGTTTTTAACTGTACAGTAATATGATTGTTTTTTAAGGCAAGCTTTAAAATATAACTAGGATTTTATTTTTTTAAATGGACAACATTACACTCACTGCAAAGGAACTTTTTTAAACTTGCTGAACACTTTGTTTTGTATGCCAAGTCCACTGTTAAGCTATAGTAGTAGTAGATAACAGGGCCAGAATCTATATATATAAAAGCCTAAGCAACAGAACAACAGAATAACTGAGTGACGGATCCACCGGTCACTATGACGCACACTGACACTCAGTGCAGGAGCTGCCACTGGATGGGCCGTGCACTCCCACAACCCGGCCAGCCAACCTCCTGCGGCCCTTCCCACCAGCCGGTCCCAGTCAGCCCCAATCAGGATGGCAAGAGAGCCACAACGGCCCAATCCCAGCCAGGCTGAGGGACCCACCTGTGCACGAATTTGTGCACCGGGCCTCTAGTAAGCTCACAAAACGCTCCTACAAGTGAAAGAGACTACAGCTTGCACATGGTTTATTGACTTGATTGAAAACCGTATGGTACATGCAATGTTTTACATAGTTGATCTCATCTTGGTTCACACTGACATCAGTAGTCGTATTTGGGTTCTATGCTCGAGACTGTTCAGGTGCTATTGCTGCTGCTCTTGGCTTGTTTTCTTTCAGGATCAAGGTGGGTACTTTCATACAAAATCTTATTTTTAATTCCTTCTCTGGTGATTCTTTCCTGGATTCTTTGCTTTGCATAATTATACCTACAATGGAGCCTTGGAAAAGAAGAATACGAAGCTGTTAATATAAAGTTCCTATAGAAACATTTGACATTTTATAGTAATAAAATTCAGGAATGCTTACAGATGAGTACCCTGAGATTGAAAATATAATCATTCTAATCTGGTGGTTTGGTGTCAACGATACCTACAAACACTCTTGTTTTATATAAAATTGGAGCCCTGTGCATGAATCCGTGCACTAGCTGGTCTGCCACCCTCCTGTAGCTCTCCACCCCTTGCCCACCCTCCTGCAGATCTGTGATCCAGTTGTCATGCCTCACTGTGTAACAGATAATTAGCATATTTCTTTCCTCTAAGATGAGGATTCCTGTCACCTTAGCTTAATTTTTAGAACCTGATTAAATGGAACGAGAGTACTTTGTGTCTGGCATTTTTTGCTGATGAAAGCAGTTGATAGTCATCCATGCTGTATCAGTTCTTAGTAACATCAGATACGCTGGGAGCAGGGGTGAAATGGGAGTTAGGGTATAAGGTACAGGGTGGAGGCCTTCATAACCGAAGTATAAGCCATAACTTGGCATTAGTGGCATATTATGCAGCCACCTATTTATTCCAGAAATGGTATAGAATGAGTACATGCACATACTGAAAGGATTAAGACATTCCAGCAGTATCATTTCTTAAGAAATTTCCATTAAAAAGTCCTTGCTAAGTAACTGAGGGTGGGAAATTGCTCGGGAAAGAGCACGTGCGTTGGAATTGGATAAACCTATAATCCTGGGTCCCCTTGAATGCTCAGTGCACATACCAGTATCCTAAAGTCACGACAATAAATCCTCCTACTCCAACATCGCATGATCTTCTAATTCTACCTGTCAAAGAGCACAGACATTGTCATTACTATACATGATATATTACTTCATCTAGAAAATAACAGCTTGCTACAGATAGGTGTGTGTTTATATAGAGAAAAGGAGATACTCACTAGTTAACAAAAAATGTCCAAGGCCAGCCACAACAGATCCTAATGAACCATATAATACTGAGTCCCGTGCACAGGGAATGTTCTCGACATCTAAAATTCCTAGGAGCTTAAAGGTCTAAGATAAAATGAAAAAGAACCTAGATTGAACAAGAAAATATTGTAGATCACAGTGGTTTGGCAAATAATATGACCAGGAATCGGTCCATTTACTTTTAACATCCTGCTTTTGGTCTTTGATCTGAAGCTGAATCTTAGTGGGAAACTTTGATAATTTAATTAACCAGAAAGCCCCTGGTAGAGTAACATAACCTAAATCCATTGAATTTTGATGTTAGGTAATAATTTGCTAATTAAGTAGTTTAGAAATGAGCACATTTTTAAATACATTTTTGTTGATTTTGCAGAGGGAGATAGAAACATCAATGCTGAGAATCATTGATTAGCTGCTTCCTGCATGCCCCACAACCCAAGCATGTGCCCTTGACTGGAATCGAACCCAAGACCCTTGAGTCTGCAGGCTAACGCTCTATCCACTGAGGCAAACTGGCTAGGGCTAGAGATAAGCACATTTTATGAGCTCTTTAAACAGTTATGACATATGCCCAGGTTGCGGGCTTGATCAGTAGGAGGTGTGCAGGAGACAGCCAATCAGTGATTCTCATCGATGTCTCTCTCTCCCTCTCCCCTCTGAAATTAATAAAAATATTTAAAAAAATATTTAATGTAAAGATAAACATTAGGCATTATAACTCCTGTTTCCTTGCCTGATACGAGATTGGATGTTCAAGAAAAAAAGTCACGTCTGTTTCATTGTGGCATTTTTTTTTTTTAAATATATATTTTATTGATTTTTCACAGAGAGGAAAGGAGAGAGCTAGAAACATCGATGAGAGAGATACATCGACCAGCTGCCTCCTGCACACCCCCCACCGGGGATGTGCCCGCAACCAAGGTACATGCCCTTGACCAGATTCGAACCTGGGACCCTTCAGTCCGCAGGTAGACGCTCTATCTGCTGAGCCAAACTGGTTTCGGCCTCATTGTGGCATTTCTATTCAATAAAAAAGAAGTAGAAAACCTATGCAGGTTTTCAGTAATGTAGCTTTTAAAAGAAAGCTGCTTGTCCATTAGGTAAGTCCATTGGGAGGCCAAAGGGGGAGGAGGTTTCTCTTGGACTGGGTGTAATGTAAGGGGCAGACTGGTCACAAGTGGGGAAGGAAGTCCGGTGAAAGGTTGAAAGAAGATATTCTTGGTTGTATTTTTCTCCCGTTTGCTGCTTTAGCTTAAGCTTCTGCCAGAGAAGACAATGTGTGACCTGGTTCCTAATAAAGCAACAATTACACACTCTCTTGGATCATTCTATTCCATTTTCCCTCTGGTCTCTCCCTGCTAACCCTTCCCCCGAACACAGGTTACTTCATGCACACAGCAGGTGTTTGTTCATACTGCACTTCAGTTTTGAAAGCTCTTGAACACAAATTTTCATATACATATGTGAATTGTGCTTCTAGGCTTTTCATTTCACTTAGAAAAAAAAAAAAATCAGTTTCTCTATCAGCTCAGAAGCCCAGTGGAGCGTGTGGTTGGAGGTGAGGGTGAGCCACTCTGCAGGTGGGGAACGTTGGGCTCTGCAGGCCACCTCCGAGCCAGCCTATCTCCCCTGGGAAGGAGGCTCAGATGCTGGGCTAGGAGGCGCTAACGGGTGGAAGGTGTGGCTTTCACTTTGGGGCGAGAAGGGTTGTCCAGCACCATGACCGGCAGGACACCTCCTCCAAAGATCACACAGGTTTCTATAAGGCCTCTGGGATATTCAAGTCTGGGTTCCCTTTTATAATGGAGCCATGGGGTGACACCCCCCAGCATACACCAGAATCTGCAGATAAACATTTATCGGGGCACTTGTGAAAAATGCCATCCACCTCAATCCTTGACCAGTACATAAAATATGTGTGGCCAAATTGTGTTATTTAAGCCATCCAGGCAACCTGATTTTTAAGAAAATGTTTTCAAAAGTCAGGTCTGGGATAGGCCATTGGAATGTTTAGAAGACTCCAGGTCTCTTTAAACATCTCCCAGAAATTACCCCATTTAAGATGGTCCCTTCTGGAAGCAGCGTGTGGCTAGAGGCCCAGGATTCTGCCACTGAACATTCTACGATGTAACCTGTTGTGGTTGAGAAACCAGTACTGCCAAGGCAGAGAAACCACCGCTGGCCTAAAACCGCTTCAGTGGAGCTGGTGGAGGTGTTGGTGCCCTGCCCTTGACAGCCCTTCTGTTTAGTTTCCCATTGACCTCAGATCTCTGAAACGGCTCGGGGTCTTTACATAGAGCTGTAGGGTGCTGACAGAATGAAAACTGATCTGGAACCTCAACCCGCCACTTCCCCTCCCCCAAACCTCGTCATTTCCATTGCATCCTTTAACCCTTTGGTTATGGATGGGGGGAAAACCAAGGCTCACAGGAGTCATTTTCCAAAAGCCACTCATTAGGGAGTAATAGGACTAAAATACATAATTGTGTTTCTGCAGCTTTTATGGAAACTGTGTAAGAATGAACAAAATCTAAGATGAGATGCCTCTGGGTTTGATTCTGACCAAGGGCATAGGCCCAGGCTTCAGGCTCAATCCTCGTGTGTGTGTGTGTGTGTGGTGGGGGGGATCCTGGAGGCAGCCAATTGGTGATTCTCATCATCGATGTTTCTATATCCCTGCATCTCTGAAATCAATAAAATATATTTGGGGTGGGGGGGAATTAGAAACATGACCAAATCTGACTAGTTGGAGGCACTGACCTCTCTCCCATTAGATTGTCAAATTTTAAAATAACAGTGAACAACAGACATCTGTTGTGAATGAATCATACCTAATTTTTTTGTCAGCAAAAAATGCATTTTGGAGTGCCACAATTTTAGTAATGTGTGCCATAGATGAAAAAAGATTGAAATTCACTGGTTCAGAGTATTGATTACTATTAATTTCCAGAAGCAAGTAAGAACTAGTCTTCAGGATATGAATTGTAAGATTCTCAGAAATGGAAATTAACATTTCTCTGTTCCCTAATTAGTCTTCAGTTTTAATTTGTCAGTAATGAATTTAGCCCTTAAACTAAGGAATTTTTCGAATAATATTTTATAGGCCTATTCTGAGATTTATAAAAGCAACATTACCAGCTGACCTTGATAGAACCAAGGGAAGTTCAAGGTTTCTAAGCCAGAACGCCAATTTAATAATTTATAGGAAACAGATCAGATCAAATTAACCCAGCTCATTTCCCATTGCCAAATGTATCTGCCTCAGTGTCCATATTGTTTTCCTCTTGTTACAGAGGATGAACTGGCCAACCAACTGCCACAGCAGCCAGAGCCCAAATTTCATATTTTAAAATTTCTCAAGCAAAGAAAAAGAGCAGAATAAAAGTTTTTAAGGGCTAGTTCTATCAGGTATGCTAGCTTAGTAACCTTTCTCTCTTATTTTTAATCCTCGCCCAAGGATATTTTTCCATTGATCTTTTAGATAGGGTGGATGAGAGGGAGGGAGACAGATCTGATCAAGGCCTGGGCTGGGGAGGAGCCTGCAACCAAGGTGCATGCCCTTGACCAGATTTGAACTCGACACTTTGGTCTGCAGGCCAGTGCTCTTTCCTCTGAGCCAAACTGGCCAGGGCCCTTTCCCATTTTTATCTTGGCCGACTCTTAAAGATCCATCTCTGGATTGTAGTAGAAATAATTGCGGGGGGGGGGGGGGGGGGGGGGGGAGGTGCTGGTTTTTCTGATACTCCCTGGGCTGCTACGTAATTCAGACATCTATTTTGTACTTTTTGATGAGCTTTGATAGTAGTGTTTTATGAACAATTTACAGGACTTCATTTACAGTATTTTGTTTTGCTAATGCTGGGCCAATTAAATAGGTTAATTTTTTTCTTCCATTGAATTCTTTTATCACTTCTCAGTGAATTAGACCACCCTGACCATTACATGACAGCCGTTCTCTCCTATCAGAGTGAACAGTCCGGTATAGAAGAGACTAAAGCTCCATTCAAGAGCCCAATGTTCTCACAAAACAGTAAAGAACTCCGTATATTAAATATGGGAGTTACAAATGGGTACATTTTGTTACACTAAATATATTCCAAATAATATTCATTAAAAACCAAAGGCACCAAGAGTTGTATAAATAGGCAAAATTTGTTATTGAATATGGAAAGGTTTTGTCCAACATTTGTTCATATGAACCTTTGAATTGATCGGCTGTCTTGGCCAAATATAGGTGGAAAAATCCCCAGAGAAACATGAACTTTGAAAAATTGAGCACAATTTCCAAGCTGGTCAGAGACTATCCTAATCAGAGACTATCCTAACTACAGATTAGGAGCAATTATGATGCACTGCGGGTCTTCAGTCTGTTCATGATTGAGCCACTGATACGCAGTGGATATTAAGTCCAAGAGAAAGGAGACACATGATTAGCTTCTAGCCCAATGAATGGTATGACAGCTGTGCGGACAGAAGCTCCGCAGCCCTCCGGGGAGCTGGAGGCTCGCCTCGCTCAGCTTTGGGGCACCTGGAGGAAGGGAGCAGCCAGGCTGGGCAGTGAGCGGCCAGGCGGGGGCTTTGCACCGTCAGGCACAGGTGGAAGCAGCGCGTGGCCGAGCCTGGATAGTAAGTTCACAGGGTAGCGCGTCCCGGCCACCGCGGTGGACGCGGGTTACAGGCAATCGCCCTGCGGTGCTCCACGAGGTCGAGAGCGAGCAAGATGAACTCCAACCTTCGCTCCTCCTCTGCACAGAAGCCCGCGGGGATCGCACCAGCTTCCCGCTCCTCCACGGCCAGGCCCCGTCCTCGGGGAGCTTGCTTGCAAACCCTCTGGACTATGAATTACAGCGCATGGCCGGTCGGCCTTTCCCAGAGCCCCGCGATGCTCACAAGCACCGGCCCCTCCTCCTGCTGGGCGCTCCCTCGTCCCGGCAATGCAGGGACCACATACTACTGAGCCCCGTGCACAGGGAACGTGGGGCTCAGGAATAGGACCCACCCGGAGGGCAGGGAAGCCAACGGCACGTGCTCCGGCCTCCGGTGTCCCAGCTGCAGAGGCCGCGTCCTCCAGAGGCGCCCGCCCGCCCACGCCCCGCTCGCCCCCGCCCCCCAGGTTACCTTCTGCTCCGAGGGCTCCGAGGGCTCCGGCGAGGCAGCCATGGGGACCAGCCGGCGCCTGCACCGCCGCCCCGCCCCGGGCCTTCGCGAGCGGAAGCCCCGCCCCTCCGAGGGCCGCACCAGCGGAAGCTCCGCCCCCTCCAGGGCCGCGCCAGCGGAAGCCCCGCCCTCCCAGAGCCGGCCGCCATTTTAGGGAACGTTTCTGCTGCTCTGCAGTGGCTGCGCTGGTCCGGGCCATCTCCTTTGTTCATCGAACGGGCCACCCCTTCTCCCAGAGGGGTTCCCCCCGCCCTGCCAGCCGGCCCCCCGGCAGGGGAGGGCTCGGGAAGCGACGCCGCACCCGGGCTGCGGCCGGGCGCGGGCGGCCCCTCGAGACCGCGCCCCTCCCCGCCCAGCCCCCGCCTTCCGCCCCAACCGCCATTTCTAACCGTCGCCCGCGCTCGTGCTCCGCGTGCTCGGCCCCCGGGCGCGCGCCGTTGGGCGGGGGGGGGGGGGGGGGGGGGCGCTCGTCGCCGCCGCTTTGTCCCGCGCGCGGCCCCCGCCGGAAGTGGGCTCGCTCAGGCCGCGGCCCGCGTCCTTTGTCCTTCCGGTCCCCCCGGCCCCCGAGCGCCGGCTGCGCCCCGCCTCCCCCCTTTCCCCTCGGCGCTCCGGGGCTCCCAGCGGCGCCGCTCGGGCCGCTGGAGGGTTCGGGGACAAAATGGAGGGGGCGGCTCCCGGGGCCTGAAGGACTGACTGGGGGTTTCAGTAGAGAAAGGCCTGCTGCGTGCACGGTTCATGACGGCGGGTCCACGTCCCCCACCCCCACCCCGGCCCCCATGGCTGCGTTCACGTGGACCCAAAGCCCTGCGTGCGGGCGCGGGCTGCGGAGTGAGACGGGGTCGGTGTGGCAGCGGCCTTTGCGGGGTTTCTGTCCACCCCGAGGCCATGTCCTCGCCGTGACCTTAGGCCTCTTGCAGGTCACGCGTGGCCTCCCTGTGTCTCAGGGCCCGGGAAGGAGGGGTTTGGGGCGCCCATTGTGCAGAGTCATGCTGCTGCGCGGGGGGGGGGGGGGGGGGGGGGAGAAATGGGGGGGTCAGGCTGCTGCGGGAGGTCATCTGCCGGGGGTCAGCCGCTGTTGGGGGTCATCTGCTGGGCGTCAGACTGCTGCGGAAGGTCATCTGCTGGGGGTCAGGCTGCTGCCAGGGGGTCATCTGCTGGGGGTCAGGCCGCCGCCAGGGGTCATACGCTGGGGGTCAGGCTGCTGCCAGGGGGTCAGGCCGCTGCCAGGGGTCATACGCTGGGGGTCAGGCTGCTGCGGGAGGTCATCTGCCGGGGGTCAGCCGCTGTTGGGGGTCATCTGCTGGGGGTCAGACTGCTGCGGAAGGTCATCTGCTGGGGGTCAGGCTGCTGCCAGGGGGTCATCTGCTGGGGGTCAGGCCGCCGCCAGGGGTCATACGCTGGGGGTCAGGCTGCTGCCAGGGGGTCAGGCCGCTGCCAGGGGTCATACGCTGGGGGTCAGGCTGCTGGTACGCAGAGCCGGTGAGATCAGCCGAGACTGGATCCCAGCTACCGGTCATGAGACCTTTTCTTATTGCATAATCGTTTCATTTCTCCTGCCATCCCAGGGGAATATACAATTTATAAATTATAGGTGACAGTTATTATTTTTTTTTAATGGCCAGCTTCTGTGGAAATAGGACTGCTGCAGACACAGTCCATACTGCGCTCATAGAAAGTCCCCCCCACCCTGGGGTCCTGCCAGTTTGGGGTTCTGGGGCTCGTGGCCAGGAAGGTAACGTGTAAGGTAGGAATATTCCATGAAGGACTGAGGAATTCTTTGGGAGAATTTATTTCCTAATGATGTTGTACACGAAGGAGAACTGGAAAACTACCAGCCACAACGCCATAATGCCATCCTACGTTGTTGTTTATGGTGACTTTGAAAATGGCTAGCGGTAAACTTGGTTGAGGTCCGTGACATTTGTTTTTGAAAGTAATCTCGTGTTACCTTTTATAGTAACTTTAATTTCACAAAAGTTGCAAAGTAATTGTGTTTGGTTTTTCCATTTTCACAGTTTATAGAGGGAAAAGTAAAAATCTCTTCGCTTTCACCCTTTTCTCCCCTCTTTAAGGTAAACACAACTAGTAGCTTGATGTCTCTTTTTCTAAACTCTTTTCTTTTTCTTAAAACACTGGAATATTGGGTAAAAGTGAAAGTCGCTATGTCATAGCTGACCCCGTATATATGCACATAGCTCTGTGATATACACAATCAAAATGGCTGCACTATGTAATTCACGATCAAGAATTTACTTTTTACCATTTAACACTATGGTATATCTTGGAGATTTGTTTTCATGGAAGTACTCATTTTAATTGCTCAGCAATCCTTTGTTTTCTTTCTGACTGACATAGAAAGTTTCCATTTATTCAATAAGTACTCCCTCCCCCAATAAAAAAACACACAACACTTCAGTGAGCATCTTTATATATCTTTGTGCACATGTTCAAGTATTTCCCAAAGATAGATTTCTGGAAGTGACCTGACTCAAATGAGAATGAACATTAAACATTTTAATCTATACTGCTCAATTGTCCTGCAAAAAATACTACCAATATACTTGCTCCATTAATAATAGATGGGAGTGCCTTGTTTTCTCACAATCTTTTTTTAAACACTTCATACTGTCATACTTACCTGATGGGTGAAAAATAGTGCCTTCAGACTTTCCAGGTTATTTACAGGGTTGAATATTATTTCAAATGTCTATTGGTCATTCTTTGCTAAGCATTAACTTTGTATAGCTTAGTATATTCAAAAATTTGGTTGGGTGTGTGATTTTTAAAATAATATTTTTATTTTAGAGAGGGAATGAGGGAGAGAAACATCAATGATGAGAGCAAATCATTGATTGACTGCTTCTTGCATGCCCCCCACTGGGGATCCAGCTGGTATCAAAAGGGGACCTTCTGGTTCATAGGTTGATGCTCAGCCACTGAGTCATGCTGGCTGGGCTATGTGATTTTTCTTAGTTTATAGCAGCTCTTGACAATTATGACTTTTTTTTGAAATATTTTATTGATTTTTTACAGAGAGGAAGGGAAAGGGATAGAGATAAACATCGATGAGAGAGAAACATTGGTCAGCTGCCCCCTGCACACCCCCCACCAGGGATGTGCTGGCAACCAAGATACATGCCCTTGACCGGAATCAAACCTGGGACCTTTCAGTCTGAAGGCCAGTGCTCTATCCACTGACCCAAACCGGTTTTGGTAACAGACACTTTTTTTTTAAAGAAGACATACAAAAGAGCAACAGCTTCATGAAGAAATGCTCAACTTTATTAGCTATAAGGGAAATACAAATAAAATACCACCTCAAACTGTTAGAATAGCTATCAACAAGACAATAAATAACAGGTGTTGGAGAGGTTGTGGAGAAAAAGGAACTCCATATACTGCTGGTGGGAATGTAAACTGGTACAGCCAGTTTATAGTAGTATCCTTCCTATATAATAAAAGGCTAATATGCAAATAGACCAAATAGTGGAACAGGCTGGTTGTGGTTGCTATGGCGCACACTGACCACTGTGGGCAGATGCTCAATGTGGGAGCCGCCCCCTGGTGGTCAGTGCGCTCCCACGGGGAGTGCAGCTCAGCCAGAAGCCCTGAGCTGGGCTCATGGCTGGTAAGCGCAGCAGCCAGGGCCGGAGCCTCTCCCGCCCCCGTGGGAGTGCTAAGGATGTCTGACTGACGGCTTAGGCATGCTCCCGGGGCTGAGGGACTAAGCAGGAAGTTGGACATCCCCTGAAGGCTCCCAGACTGCGAGAGGCCGAAGGCCTGGCTGAGGGATTCCCCCCCCACCCCCACCCTAGTGCATGAATGTCATGCACTGGGCTTCTATTGTAGTTTATAAAGATGTATGCACCCCTCTGTTGATTATAGCATTATTCATAGTAACGAAGATACGGAAACAAGTGTCCTTCAGAGGATGATTGGGTAAAGAAGATGTGGTACATGTTTACAATGGAATACTACTCAGTTACAAGATGAAATACTACCACAGCAAGGATGGATCTTGAGAGCATAATGCTAAGCAAAAATAAGTCAAGTGGAAAAGGACAAGGACCATATGATTTCACTTGTGGGTTTAAAGAAAACAAAAACTCCTAGACACAACAGTATGGTGGTTACCAGAGGGGGGGGGGGTGAGGAGGAAGTTGAAGAGGGTAAAAGGAATAAAAATATGGTGATAGAGGAGATAAGACTTTGGGTGATGAACAACAATGCAGTATATATACTGTGTTTCCCTGAAAATAAGACATCCTCCGAAAATAAGACCTAGCGCATGGAAAGATAAAACATCCCCTGAAAATAAACGTAGCACAACTTTGGGTGAAAAAATTAGTATAAGACACTGTCTTATTTTCAGGGAAACGGTAGATGATGGGTCACAGAGCTGCACTCTGAAACCTATATAATCTTATTAACCAGTGTCACCCACAAACTTTTTGTTAATCCTTACCCAAGGGTAATTTTTCCCATTGATTTTAGAGAGAGAGGGAGTGGGGAGGGAAAGAGAGAGAAACATGGATGTGAGAGACACATTGATTGGTTGCCTCCTACAGGCTCCCCAACAGGGACTTGGGGATCGAACTCCTGACTGGGAATCAAACTGATGCTCTAACCACTGAAAAGCACCAGCCAAGGCAATAAACTTAATTTAAAAAGGAAAAGAAACACATCCTATGACAGAACCTTATTCCAATGGCTTCTGGGTTACATGCCATGGGCCTCCACTTCATAGTGAGTGCTGAGATGCTGGAGAATTTTACCAGTTTGGAAATCTCCTCCCTTACATATAAAAAAAAAAAAATGCATAACCCTTTTAAAACTATTCAGTTAACCTTATATCACAGACTCTTCCACGGTAAGGAATATAAAGAAATCCTAGCTCATTAATAATGTTTTTGCTATTGGTATATGTACAAAAATAATAATTTAATTTAAAAAATTAAAAAAATAATGTATTTGCTTAGTGCTCTGTATTATACCTCATTGTGAAATATGACTAGAATCTCATTGTTTAAAAAATAAGCTTATACTTGATTTAGAGCATAGTGCTTATCTTCTACACAATATTAAAGACTACTATAAACATTGAGGCCTGGCTGGTGTGGCTCAGTGGTTGAGCATCAACCTATGAACCAGGAGGTTAAGGTTGGATTCCAGGTCAGGGCACATGCCTGGGTTGCAGGCTCGATCTCCAGTGAGGGGCAAGCAGGAGGCAGCCAATCGATGATTCTTTCTCATCAATGTTTCTATCTCCCTTCCTTTCTGAAATCAAT